TGCCCCGCCCTCGCTCGTCGCCGGCCCGTGCTCGCGCGGCAACTCGGGCTCGCCGTCGTCGTCGCGCGGCAACTCGCCGGCGTCACGCCGCCCGGGCGGTGCTGCTGCCCAGTCTCGCTCGTCTGCCCAGGCCGAGCCCGCGCCCGCACCGACGACCGCCGCCGAGCCCGCGCCCGCCGAGCCGGCCAAGCTCTCGCCTGAGAAGCTCGCCCGCCGCGGCAAGTCGATTCTTGAGGAGTACTTTTCGCTTCGTGACACCAAGGAGGTGGCCGAGTGCCTCGCCGAGCTCAACGCGCCCGAGTACTACCCCAAGTTCATCTCGCAGTCGCTCACCATCATGCTCGAGAAGAAGGAGGACGCCCGCGAGTCGCTGCCCGACCTGTTCATCGCCCTCGTCTCTGGCTCGGTCGTCGACATCACCGCCGATCTCGTGGTCGAGGGTCTGGCGGCCTGCCTGGACCTCCTCGATGACTTGCTCATCGACATCCCGCTCGGCGGCCTCTACGTCGGCCGCCTCGTCGGCCGCCTAATCGCCGCTGACCTCATGACCATCTCGCAGATTGTCGAGCTCCTCGCCCCGCGCGAGATGCTCATCCTCGGCGGCCACGTCGGCAAGCTCATCGCAGGCATGGTCCGCGCCATCGTCGAGGACCTCGAGGATGAGGAGGCTGTCGACGACCCCGTCGCCGCCGCCAAGGCCAAGTGGGAAGCTGCAGGTGTCGACATTCGCACCCTCGTCAAGCGCCGCTTCCGCGAAACCGCTGTCCTTCGTGAGTGGCTTGCTTCGGAGCGCATCAGCGACGTCATCACCGTTGCCGACGATGCCTAGCTCACACCCACCCATGCGATCGTGTACACCCAAAGCCCAAACTATCCCCCTCGCGTCACCTTCCCATCCTCTTCACACACCAAACACGTACACACACCACACCACCACCACCACCACCACCACCACCACCACACCCTTTCACACACACACTCACACACACACACACACACACACACACACACACACACACACACACACACACCGCCACACAATCCCCACTTTCTCCGCCCTCCCGCAATGACCACCGCCATCCTCCTCCTTCTCCTGCTCCTGTTCGTAGGCACGTCGGTGGCTTTGCCCGTCGGCCAGCGCCAGCTGCTGACAACGGCAGATGGCATGCAGAAGATCATGCCGAGAACAGCGTTCAGCGGCAAGGTCTCCAACAGGTTCTGTGGCCTTGATGAGAACGGCGAGTGCCAATATGGTCCGTATCTGCAATCGCTGGGACTGCTCATCATCCCGCCGGTCGTCTTTGCCGTCCTCTCGCTCCTTGTTCCATGCGCCTTCTTCCTCCCGCGGCTGGTCCTGGGCTTCTGGGGCGGCCGCTCGCCATCGCACGGCTGGTTCAAGCCGGTTGTGCGTGAGACGCAGTTTCCTGGCTACTCGCGGACGAGCATCGTCCGGACCAAGGCGCTGTATGTGGGCATTGCTGGGACCATGATCGGCGTTGTTGTTGCCGGCATGCTCGGCAACATGCTCGTCTCGTCGGCAACGTCAACATTTGTGGACACTGTCCTCGAGTCAGCCATCGATGTGGTGACGACTGCTGAGCGGGTGGTGGCAGAGATGGCCGGCGTGGTGTACACGCCGGCCGGCTTCCAGACCCGGGTCCAGCCTGCGCTCGACGCCGCGGCCGCGGTTCTCGACTCGGGCCAGACCATGCGCGACACAGTTCAGACGTACTCTGCCATCCGGCTGTTTGTCATGTACGGCTTTTTGGGCGTCCCGCTCATCTTTGCCGCCGTCGGCCTCGCCGGGCCGCTGCTCAACGCCCGCAAACTTGCCTTTGGCTGCTCCATGTCCGCCACATGTATCATGTTCCTCACCTGGTCCATCTTTGCCATCCACGTCCTCCTCATTGTGCTCTTCTCTGACCTCTGTGTCGAGATTGACGAGCTGCGTGCCGTCGACTCGTCAGCCATCTCCAACGCCACTGTCCTCAACAAGCTTCTCGGCTGCGGCGCAACCAACTCATCGTTTGACTCGCTGGTGGCCGAAGCCGAGGCTGGCCTCACTGCTGCTGCCGCCGCCGCCTGCTCCGCCCATGCTCTCCTCTGTACTGAACAGTACCAAGTATGTCCACCGACGCCATGCTCGATCGCCACCATCGAGTCGCTACTCCTCGCCGACGTCCTCGACTTTGAGCTTGGCTGCTACTCGGCGCCGAATCCGGTCTGCACTCCGGGCGGCGGCGCAGCCTCGGGCTGCCCTTCCCAGCTTGTTGGTCCGTGTGATGCCGCGCCGATGACCATTCGCACCTGCGCCGAGTCGTGCCGTCCTGCAGGCTCCAAGGCGGCAGCGGCGGCTTTTGTCTCGGCCGCAGACGCCGTCGCTGTCTACCAGCGCCTCTTGTTTGCCGACATCAAACCGCTGCAAGAGTGCTCGTTTGTAACGCAGCTCTTTACCTCGGTCCAGGACACGGTGTGCGTCGATATGCTCGGTGGCCTCGATGCGCTTGGCACCACGCTCGCTGCCGAGGCCGTTCTTGTCGCTGTCCTCATGGTACTCCTGATCCTCGGCCTCAAGCGGTTCCGGTCCCTCGCCGACGCCCGACTGCTTCCGCTCGATGGTGGAGACGAGCTTGCCGTCGTCGAGCATGGCACTGACAAGTCGCTGAACGACGAGCCACGTGGCTCCGAGGCTGACGGCAGCGAGACAGTCGATACTGCTGTTGCCACCGCGACCATTGCAGGCCGCAGCCACAAACGCAAGCACAAGTCGAGCAAAGCGAAGAGCAAGGGCAAGGGCAAGGGCAAAGGCAAGGGCAAGCCGGTATCGCGGCGCGACCGTCCGCGGCCCGGTACCACCGGCATGCCGTTCTTGGTCTCGTCCTACTCGAGCGACGCCGGCGATGCCGACATCCATGTTACGGTCCTCGCCCGCGACGATCCTGTCCGCGAGTTTGTCAACGAGGGCAAGACCGACAAAAAGGCGGCAGCGCGGCTCCGCGGCAAACAGGTCCGGTCGGCGCCGCAGCAGGCGTACGTCATTCCATCGCCCAAGAAGCAACTGGAGCTCGAGGCCCGCGCCAAGCAGCAGCAGCTGGTGGCGCAGCAGTTCCAAGCGCGGGCGGCGTCGCTGCAGGTGCAGGCCACTGCCCTCCAACGCCGGCAGGCGCAGCTCACCGCCGCCGCTCGTGGCCCAGTCCTTGTCGCCCCGGGCGCGGCGCCGATGCAGATGTCCCACCACCCGCACTACCCGCAGCCGCCGGCCGAGTTTACCATGACGGACATGTCGAGCGCGCCGCAGCTCCGCTCGCTCGCCGAGGCGACCAACGCCGCGTATCCGCTCGCTGGTCAGCAAGCGCTCCCGCCGGCCGCCTCGTACTCGGGCGGCATGTACCCGATTGCTGGCCAGCAAGCGCTCCCGCCGGCGGCTACCAACTCGGGCGCGTACACTCTCGCGCCGCACCCATCGCATCTCGCCCAGCCGCCGGCGGCTTCCAACTCGGGCGGCATGTACTCGATCGCCGGCCAGCAAGCGCTCCCGCCGGCGGCTACCAACTCGGGCGCGTACACTCTCGCGCCGCACCCATCGCATCTCGCCCAGCCGCCGGCGGCTTCCAACTCGGGCGGCATGTACTCGATCGCCGGCCAGCAAGCGCTCCCGCCGGCGGCTACCAACTCGGGCGCGTACACTCTCGCGCCGCGCCCATCGCATCTCGCGCAGCCACCGCAGGCTTCCAACTCGGGCGGTGCGTTCTTCTACGAGGAGGAGATGTAGCACGATGCGCCGGTAAAACAGGTAAAACCAAATCTAGGTCCAATCCGCATGTGCCAGGATTCGACGCCCGGGCTGACCGACCGGCTGACCGACTGGCCGGTTGAGGGCGGTGGTTGGTCGGCCGTCGGCCGGCCCCCCTCCCTCCGCCGCCCCCGCCCCAGCGCACCTCTTGAACGGCATCTCACTCCCTCCAGACTGTGACCATGTTCTGCAAGCGGGTACGTGTCGCATCGATAGCGCATTATGACAAAGTCAGAGGGGAGCTGCAAGGCTGCCGAGAGCAAAGCGGGGGCAGGAGAGAATGCGGAACGAGAGACGCACACGACATAGTTGGGAGGAATTTTTGGGGCCATGGCGCCGCCTGTTTGGGGCCGGCAAGGCAAGACGGCACAGGGCATGCAGGCGGGAGTAGAGGCCCGTGAGAGCGACACCGACAGGATATAACTCACGTAAGAAGTGTTGTTCATGTCTTTGGCATGTCCTGCGTGTGGTGGCACAGTCCAAGGGGGCGGAGTCGATCCGTGAAGTCAGGGGCGGGGACCCGACCATGGCCACGTCCTTCCCAACCAACAAGATCTCCAACACAAAGTACACCATCTACAACTTCCTGTTCCTCAACCTCTATGAACAGTTTTCGTACGTTTGAATCATTCTCTGCCAAACACTTGGCTGACAAGCCTTCCCCCGCTCTTTTTCGCTCCCACCGGAAGGGAACGCTGTCATCCATGACGTAATGCAGATGGTGTGTGAACCCGCATGGAGAAGCGGTATGTATAAGGGGGCAGAGAAGAGGATCCGCCACCTTGTGTATTTTGCTGGTGGTAGTGGTGGTAGTGATGGTGCTGGTGCCGGTGCCGGTGCCGGTGGTGGAAGAGACGGTGTCGGATGGTGGCGGTGGTTTTGTTTCTTTGAATGTGTGTGATTGCATTATTGTTTGTGTTTGTTTGGTGGTGATGGCGATGGAGTTGGACTCATGGAGAGAGCATTTGGCTGAGCAGACGGTTCATGAACATCTACTTTCTGATCATTGCATGCCTGCAGCTGTGGAATGCGATCACGCCGGTCAATCCACTGACGACGTGGCTCCCGCTGATTCTCATTTTCCTTGTCTCTGCCATCAAGGAAGGCCTCGACGACTACTTTCGGTACAAGGCCGACAAGGAGGCGAACAACCGGGCGGTGCAGGTGTCTCGCGACGGGGTGCTTGTGGAGATGCGTGCTGCCGACATTGTGGTGGGCGACATCCTGTACATGGTTGAGAACGAGCAGATTGCTGCCGACGTGGTGCTGCTCAAGTCGTCGTCCGACGGGGCGGCGTACATCGAGACAGCCAACTTGGACGGCGAGACGGATCTCAAGTCGCGGACGTGTCTTGCCGAGACGCAGGAGCTGAGCGGGAGCCAGGTGCTCAACTTTAAGGGCGTGTGCGAGTGTGCGGCGCCGAACCCGGAAATCTACAAGTTTGACTCGCGGCTGCGGCTGACGACGGACGCAAACGCCGAGTCGCTCTCGCTGAGTGCCAAGCAGACTGCGCTTCAGGGGTGCATGCTGCGGAACACCGAGTGGGTGTACGGCATGGTGGTTTACACCGGCAACGAGACAAAGATTGGCAAGAACAAGCGGATTCCGCCAACCAAGTGGACGCATCTTGACCAGCTGATCAACAAGGCGACTGTGGCGATTTTCACGCTCCAGGTCTGCTTCATCATTGCGTTTGGCATTGCCGGCGCGTTGTGGCGCGAGGACAAGGGCAAGAAGATGGAGTACCTGCTGGTCTCCAAGGAGGAGTGGTACGATCCGATTGTCATTCCACTGCGGTTCATGCTCCTGATGTCGTTTATGATTCCCATCTCGCTCAAGGTGACCATGGACATGGTCAAGTTCTACTACGCGCAGCTGATCAACTGGGACATCCACATGTACGACGAGGAGACGAACACTCCGGCCGAGGCCAAGAACACGGCTATTTCGGAGGATCTCGGCCAGCTCGAATACATCTTTCGGACAAGACCGGAACCATTACGGAGAACGTGATGCGGTTCCAAAAGTGCGCCGTCGACGGGCGGATGTTTGGCCACACGGCAGCATGCTCGGACGCGACGCAAGACCCGGATCTGCACGCCCTGGTGGCGGACCCCAAGGCCACGGTGGCTGCCGAGTTTTTCCGCTGCCTCGCCCTCAACCAGACAGTTGTCCCGAACGCTGAGGTTGATGCCAACGGCAAGGTGACGTACAAGTCGTCGTCGCCGGACGAAGAGGCACTTGTTCTTGCGGCGCAGGACATGGGCGTGACCTTTACCGCCCGCGACGGCGACATGCTCACTGTTGACTTTCTGGGCAAGGCCGAGAGCTACGAGCTGTGCAACGTGCTCGAGTTCTCGTCGGACCGCAAGCGCATGTCGGTCATTGTCAAGGACAACGAGACCGGCCGCTACAAGCTGTACATGAAGGGTGCCGACGACAAGGTCATCTCGCGCCTCGACATGTCGCTCAATCCGGACCTGGCCGAGCTGGACCACCAGCTGGAGACCTTTGCCCAGCTCGGCCTCCGCACTCTGGTCATCGGCTACCGCTACCTGGAGGAGGATTCGTACCTGGCTTGGATGGAGCGCTGGACCGAGGCGAACACCTCGATTGAGAACCGTGACGTACGTTGGAAGAAGGCGTGTGGGTGGAGGGAGGCGCGGCGCGCGGGCCGAGAGGATCGAGTCGGATGATGATGCTTAACCATCAATTCTATGATAGGAAGTGCCGTCTTAGAGCGAGGACCGAAAAACGGGCTCGTCTCGATGACGTTACTGGTTTTATTCTGACTACTCTGATCCTCTCGGCGTGGCACAGCGCCTCGCAAGCGAGCAAGAGGAGTGAGACTTACCTGGGAGTGTGTGTGTGTGTGTGTGCTTGGAATGGAACCACAGGAGCGGTTGGCGGCGGTGTACGAGGAGATGGAGCAGGACCTGGAGCTTCTGGGCGTGACTGCCATCGAGGACAAGCTGCAGGAAGAGGTGCCGGAGACGATCGCGCTGCTGAGGCGTGCGGGGCTCAAGTTCTGGATGCTGACGGGCGACAAGTACTCGACGGCGCTGCAGATTGCGACGGCGTGCAACCTGATGTCGCCCGAGTCTGAGGGCGGAGTGCTGCTCCGTGTGGAGGGTGAGACTGCGGACCAGGTTGGGCTCTGCCTCAACACGCTGGAGAAGCAGAGCAAGCAGGCCGAGGCGCGCGGGTGCGACATCACGGTGATTATCGAGGGCGGGCAGCTCGGCATCTGCCTGGAGCACCACAAGGAGCAGTTCCGCGACATTGGGATGCGGTCGCACGCGGTGGTGTGCTGCCGTGTGACGCCGCAGCAGAAGGCGCTGGTGGTCGCGTCTGTCAAGGAGCTGGACAAGGTTTGCCTCTCGATCGGCGATGGAGGCAACGACGTGACGATGATCCAGGAGGCGCACATTGGCGTGGGCATCTCTGGGCGCGAAGGCCTGCAGGCGGCGCGGGCGGCTGATTACTCGTTTGCCAAGTTCAAGTTTCTGCGGCGGCTCATTCTTGTGCACGGGCGGTGGTCGTACAACCGGACCGCAGTCATTGCGCAGTATGCGTTCTTCAAGTCGATCTACATCTGTCTCATCCAGGTTCTGTACAACTTCTACGCCGGTTTCTCGGGCACGTCGCTGATGAACACGTTCTCGCTCACGACGTACAACGTGGTCTTCACCGGGCTCCCGGTCTTTGGCTTTGCGCTCGACCAGGACGTGACGGAGGAGAAGGTCTTTGAGTTCCCAGCCATCTACAAGGGCGGGCAGCGGTCAAACAAGATGAACGCGGTGACGATGGCAACGTGGTTCTTCCACGCCGTCTATCAGGCCGCAGTCACGCTTCTCATCACTCTCGCGGTCTTCAACGTCGACCACTTGCACTGGGGCGACGGCTACCCCGTCGACTATGCGTCGCTCTCGATGGTGGCGTACTCGGCGGTGGTCATTGTCAACCAAATCGTGGTCTTCCTCTACTCACACTACCTCACCGCTGTCAACGGCATCCTCCTCATCGGTTCGGTCGTCACCTACTTTGGCACAACCATGGTATACTCGGCTGTCCCCTTCCTTGACTTTTACCAAGTCATGGACCGCCTTGTCTCGGACGGCAACTTTTGGGCGACCGTGCTGCTCATTGTCGTCGTCGCCTGCATCCCAGGCTTCTTTGCCAACGCGCTCCAGATCTCGTACTTTCCCACCTTTGTGGACCAGGTCCGCTTTGTCACCCGCCAGCGCGATGAGCAGCTGCGCAAGGGCGCTGATCCTGCGGCCGCCAACCCCATGCTGGGCAACCAGCTGTAGCGGCCGCACCGCAAATGAACATTGCTCATTCATCATCCGAACGAGTGGCTGCCGCTGGCACATTGCACTCGCGCCTGTCACCCGGAAGCGATCGGCCATGGCGGCACTGCCTCTTCCATCTGCACTGTTGCTGGTTACCCCTGAGCGTGCTCCCCAAACGCGCGGCGTCTTTCGCCCGCTTGACCTCACTTGCTTGTCGGAGAGCCTGGCGCCGTCCCCGCCACCGGGCTCGCCGCGGTGCTTGGCGCAGCGATCACGGCTGCCATCGCCACCTCGATCGCCGCCGCGATCGGTTGCTGCCTCGCCGCCGCTGCCGGGCTCGTCGACGTCGTCGATCGACGACTCGGACTTGAGCCTGGATGCCGAGTCGGACAAGGAGAACGCGCCCGACACCGTGGCTCGCCTGGTGGGTGCTGATCTTCTCTACTGCACCAACATTGTACGCATGGGCGAGGGGAGGAGATGGTGCAGAAAAAGGTCGTGCTTGATCAGCAGCATGTTTGTGATCACCAGCGATCACACGGGGCGTGCGAATAGCGCGGCTTTTTTCTGACGATGGTGCACGGCGGGGATGGGGGCGACTGAGACAGGCACACGAGCTGGCGCAGCTGGAAGAGGCAACGGCAGGGAGCGGGGAGCGTGTGACGATGCCGACAGTGGCGTGCGGTTGCTCGCGGCATGATCAGTGGCTGGAGCCGGTGGCGCTGTCGGCAGCCGGAGCGGCGGCGATGGCGAGGCTGGCGGCCGACAACCGCTGCGACAGCGGGTCCGGGCGGGCGCGGCCACGGCGGAAGCGGACATGGGTCGAGAGCGTGTGGGGCGGGGGCTGGGATGGGATGCTGGCGATGCCGTCCGAGTGGATGGCGGGGGCGGGAGAAGGCTCGATGGGCGATGAGGCCGGCGGGGTGGCGCGGATGGTCAGGCGCAGCGGCGGGAGCGGAAAGCGGGTGCGATTGGGGGCGGGGAAGGTTCATCCGTTCTCGGAGAATGACTGCCTCTTTCTCTCACTCCTGCACACAGAGGAGGTGTACCGGTTTGTGGCTCGCGAGCAGCTGGTGGACGCGTACGCGCTGGCGCAGGTGGCGCTCTACTTTGAGGCGCTCGGTGAAGCGCGGCGGCGGCGGCATGTGCGGCGGATGTACGGAGCGCGGACGTTCTTTCACCTGCTCTGGCTCGCTTTTGCCATGACCGACGACTTTGCCGACGGCCAGCAGGCGATTGTGGTGGGCGCGGTGGCGCGGCACAAGTGGGTGCCCGGCAGCCAGCTGGTGCGATCGGGTGCGCAGTTTGTGACGGCCTACGCGCGGCATCGCAAGCGGTACCTGGACGCGGTGGCAGCGTTTCACAACGACTTTCTCGCGGTCTTCTTTGAGCTCGGCTGCCGCGGATGGCTCTCTGTGGTGGCCATCAAGGCCAAGGCCGCGGTCTTTGCCGGCCACGGCTTCTACTTTTCCACCAAGGCTCGACGGCCGCGGGTGTGCTTTGGCGGGCCGAGCGGAGATGACGATAAATGATGTGTCGGTTGGGGGGGGGGGGGGGAATTACGAAGAAGACTGATTGGGGGGGGGGGGGGGGGGGGGGGGGGAGGGCAACTTGTCTCGGGCGGCTTGGCGCGCAACCGAGGACATATGAGCGTGGGCCGGGCGACGCGGGTCGGGCGGAGATGGGGAACAGCGACTGGAGGAGACGGGAGAAGGCAGGCGGGAAGGGGCAGGCGGGAGGGGCTGGTGGCGAGTGTGGCGTTGGCTGTGGCGTTGGCTGTGGTGGCTGTGGTGACTGTGGTGGCGCCGACAGCAGAGGCCGCCAGCTGGCCGGTGGACCGGTTTGCTCAGGCTCGCGGGTGCTCGCTCGGCGGGCGCGTGACGACGACGACCCGCTGGAGAGCATGTGCCAGCTCAACTCGACCCTTGGCTTTGGCGGCTCGCGGCGGCTGCTGGTCGGGTTTGGTGAGAGCGAGTGCTCGGTGACGGTCCGTGGGTGCCGGCCGGGCGAGTGCTATGTGGCAGCCGAGGCGAGCGCGTCGTACGCGCCGCCGGATCCGCAGGCGGCGGCGGGGCCTGCGTCGATCTTTGCGTCGGTGGAGGGGGTCAAGGGCGCGGCGATGGTGTGGAACTCGCGCGGGCTTCACTTTAAGCCGTCGGGCTCTGAGTTCTCGTTCAGCTACACCACGGTCTCGTGCGCCGAGTACTATGGGCGGCGCGGCTACCTGCATCCGCAAGACTGTAGCGCGGCGGTGGAGGCGCTTGGGCTTCTTGTGGCGGGCCTCCCGGTGGCATGCGATGAGCTGTTCTAAGGGCCGGCTTGCGATGGCGAGTGCATTGGGCACGGGTGGCTAGTTGCCGGACGAGTCGTCGTCGTCGTCGTCATTGCCGGAGCCGGCGCCGTCGGTAAAGTTGGAAGGAAAGAGGCCTGTGGCGCCATTGACGGTTCCCTCCCACCAGCCGCCATCGTCCTTGGAGACGATGGTGATGACATCGCCGGCCTCGAACGAGATCTCGCCGTCAAACTGGGCGTCGTAGTCATAGATGGCGGTGACGGTCTCAGCCGGCGGGGCGGCCTGGACGGGCGGGGCGGCCAGCGCCGGCTTGGGCGGCATAGGCGGGGCTAGGGCGGGTGGGGCCAGCGACGGCGGCACCGGCTTTGTCCACGAGCTCTCGCCGGTGGCGTCGTTGACATAAAACTCGCGCTTGTAGGTCTCGTCGAGGTGGACCGACCAGCCCGGCGGGAGGACGACCGACGGAGCTGGCGGGCGGTCGAGGTGCGGTACGGCAAGGGCAGGAGCGGGAGTAGGAGTGGCAGTAGGAGCGGATGGCTGGACCGAGCCCGGGACCGGCGGCGGCGGGCGATCAGAGGCGAGACCGGGGATGATGGTGCCGTCAGTGAGGCGGGTGGAGGCTGGGCGCGGCTTGATGGGCGGGCGCTTGGCGGCAGAGGAGGAGCGCGGCGGGACTGGGGCAGGGGTGGGGGCGCCGTCAGGAGCGTGAGCGCGGGCAGGGACAGCGACGTCACCGACCTCGCCCTCGTCGTCCTCGTCGTCCTCGTCGTCGTCGGAGAGGTCCGCAGTCGAGTCGATGCCCTCTGTGGTGGTGATGTCTTCGGTGTCTGGGAAGGGATCGAGCGAGGTTGTGGAGGAGCGGGTGCCGGGCGGGGCGAGCTCGAGCGAGCCGCCGCCCGACTGCGGGATCTCCTCGACGCCGTCGGGAGACCAGACAAAGAGCGAGATGAGAGGTGGGCGGAGCGAGCCAGTCGCGTTTGAAGCGCGCCACTCCTCAATGTCGGTGGCGCAGTCGATGGCCTCGATCGACTTTGTGAGCGTGGCGAGGGCGTCGGCGAGGACCGGCGGGCGGGCGCGCTCGATGTCTGCGTACGAGAGCAAGGTCTCGCGGATAAAGTCGTACGATTGGACCTGGACGCATGAAATGTCTGTAAAGAGCTGGGACATGGCGTACTCCCAGCGCTGCTGCTCGTCGTGATGAGAAGTGACCTGTGCGCGGTAGAGTTTCTCGTACTTGATGCGCTCCTTCTCGGCCTTGTCGGCCTTTTGCGGGCCGAGGCAACGTCCTTGGCCGGGAGGGAGGTGTTGCGCTCCTGGTTGCGGTAGGTGTAAGTCTCCTCGGCGTACTTGAGGTACTTGGCCTTGTACTTTTCGAGCTGGTCCAGCGACTTGCCCAGGTCCTTGTCGTGCTTCTCCTTGAGGGCGTGGTTGTTCTTGCGCATCTGCTTCTGGGCGTCCTTGTACTGCATCAGGCGGTCACCGGTGGCGCGCAGCTGCTTGGCAAAGGCGGTGCGGTCGTCGGCCGACCGCAGAGCCTCGCCCATCATCGACTCGTAGGCCGACTTGAGCGAGCCGGTCTCATCGCTCAGCCGCTTCTGCTTGGTGACTTTGACCAGAGCCTTGGCGTAGGCCTCCTCCACGGCAGCCCGGTCGAAAAAGTAGGCCGACAGCTCCTTCAGCGCCTCCTTGGACGAGCGCAGTTTGAGGATGAGGCGGTCAAAGCCGTCACCCTCCTGTGTGTGTGTGTGTGTGTGTGTGTGTGTGTGTGTGTGGTGGGTGGGGGT